CAGAAGAACTGGCCTTTACATTGGTGTCCCCTGCCCTTGCCTGCCACTTTCCGCACGCCCATCGCATGCGAGCAGATCGCGTTCGCCTATTGCGAAAATCGCTCAGAAGAATAGCAGTGGCAACTGAGTTTGCACCACGTGCCAGCACTAATTCGGCTCCGGTGAAGGGCTGGCCCAGTTTCATGTGAACCAGCACGAGAGGTCGACCGCACACATGTGAGGGCGATGGAGGTCGGTGTCCGCAGTTGCATTCTCGAGTAATTTGGACTGCTCACTTGTGCTTACCAACATTTCAAAACCTCGCAAGACCCGTTACTTTGTCTATCCTCGCCGCACGCATGTCGCGCAAAGTATCAATGCGTGCATGCAGCTTTGTCGATGTGTGCGAATGCGTCGCCTACTACGAAACTTGACACAGTATGTACAGTAGAACGATTAGATAATTATTCCGTCTCTCAACGGGGGATCAATCAATATTTATTCACATCGGCAGGCGTGGTGCTGAAGCTAAGCGTCAGAGGAATACAATGCTGAGGTTTTTTAAACCGACGATCACTCTACGGGCGGCGGGAAGGGGTCGAGGGACGTGATGGATAGCAGCGGTGGCGCAAGCAGTGACGTTGAGGTGGTTACGACGGGAGTTGCAGGCGGGCGTGAGGGCGGAGCAGGCGCGGGTAGCGACGCTGAGGTGGTTGCGACGGGAGTTGCAGGCGGGGGTGGAGGCGGAGCGGGCGCAAGCAGTGACGTTGAGGTGCTCTCGACGGGAGTTGCAGGCGGGCGTGAGGGCGGTACGGGCACGGGTAGCGACGGTGAGGTGGTTGCGACGGGAGTTGTGAACGGGTGTGAGGGTTGTGAGGGCGCGAGCAGCGAAATGGATGGAACGTTCTCCGACGCTGCACACGAGAGTGGTTCGACCGATATGGTGCGCGTCCAAAACCCCCTCCGCTGCGCGGGATTGCGTCCGAATGTTCGGGAGCCTCTTCTCCAACACTACCCAGCAGCTTTGCATGGTGTCGTCAAAAAGGGGCTGTCGTGGGAGGCTCGGATAGACCCGCATGGCGTGGCTCTTTACGCCGTGGAATCCGTCTCCCGCGGCATCCTGAGCCCAGGTTGTGCTGGAGCAGTGGAAGAACCAGGAGGCACGTGCGAGCCGTGTGTTGACATCAAGGGTAGTAAGGTTTACAGAGGTGAGACCACGTAGCGAAAAAAACGCAAAACAGGAAGGCACAACTAGGAAGAATGCAAAACAATTTAACTGTCGCACCCTCATTCCACCACACATGTACTTTTTTTTGCTTGGATTGTTCCCTCTGCACCCCTTCCGTCTTGGAGCAGATCTGGTTCAACGATCATCGTTGGAGCCAGAAGACTCAAGGTTGAAGCACCTTGCTCTAGATTTGTTGACTCCTCACCAGCAACGAGGCAGGCTGACGCGGTGGAAGAAGAAGTTCGAAGTGCAGAAACTGTACACTTTGAACCAACTCAGGAAGTGCGCGGCTTTGCATGGTCGTGTTGCACTCGCGAAGAGTATCTTCATTTACATGGCAGACAATGACGTGAATGGCATTCGAAGGTTGATGGCTCAAGCGCGGCGAGACGGCTTGTCGCTGAATGGTATCATGCATAGGTTAGAGCAGGCGGTGAATGGCAAGTATAGTGCCGAAGGGTTCAGCCAGGATGAATTTGGCTCGGCAATATTGGAGGGGCTTCGGGGAGAGAATAATAAGTACCATCCAAGACAAGTTGCTATTATTTGTGGATGGGTGTTGCACGTGGCGAAGGTGATTCCACCGCCGTAGGCTCGTCGACAGCCCCTCTTCGGTATGTGGCCGGCTTGAGTAAGCTTGGAATGATGACGTTTCGACGCATGGGTATGTGTCATTTGGTTGTGTCCTTTCGCCACATTCGACCGAGGTCAAATGCCGTGAACTTGTCGCAGAGGCTTGGAGAAGCTCTAAGTTATACTTGAAGTTGAGGGGTTGTCCCCAAGCACTACTGCTGTACTTCAAGACTTGAAAACCAAATAAGAAGTGTCCCCAGCCCATCACAGCTTATTTCAGTACATGAAGTAGCAATCTACACCTTCCTAGTAACAAGGTCCTGCTTGCACATCGTGCCGTAAACACCACCACACGCAAGCACACGCAATGGAGAAATGAAAGCCAAAAGAAAGCCTGTACGAAAAAAAAAACTTTTTTCGCACCCCTACCGGGGGGGGGGAGGGGTAGGGTTAGGTGTCGGAAAAAAAAAATTGTGCGCCCTTGCCACACGATAAAGATTTTTTTGCCCATAAAAACGGTACAGTACTCAAATGTTCGTCTGGCAGATATTCGCGCGCCAAATGTTTAACAACATTTGAAGATTTTTTTCAAAGATTTGGCGACCATAAACATGGGTTAAGGAATAATAAAAACACACACAGAAAGACTACCCATTCGAGATATACCCACAGTCGAACGGGATGTGGTGGAGTCTTTTCAGTGAGTGGAGGGAAACCGGCTGGGTACTGGACTTATTTCGAGTCTTTTTAAGTCTATGCACTGATGATTTATACCAGTGATGCCAGCTGGTGCTAAGTACAAAAACATCTGTATAGGTAACTTATATTTTACAATACATCCCCTGTAGTTCTCTACTGGGTCAACGGCAAAATATCGTGGAGAAACCCTCCGTTGTGCCGTGTATTGTAAATTGTAACCTTCACAGGGGACACGGCGCAGTGTCTATTGACAGCTTGCTGGTTTATTAGACATATTAGGAATAACGTTGTAAAATTCATGGAAGGTGGAACAAAATCTACAGCAGTACATCATCAGTCCTACATCACTCGTTTTTCAAATCTACAGATTTTTTAATTTCACGGACAGCAGGTGTTTCCCGCCGTTTTTTTAAATTTACAAATCGTTTTTGATCCTTTGGGGTATCGTATCAGGGATGTTTATACAGCAGTAGATGAGAATGGTATACCTGGTGCATGGTAGGTAGGGCATACCATTCAGGTTGTATCATGTTAGCTTGTTTCTTGTTATGTTGGGTGTTGGTAAACATCATCAGTAGAGCATGGAAAGTTTCCAAATGATATACATCTAAATGTGGTGGTTGTTGTCAACTTCCCTGGTGTTCCTCAAAGCGGTTTGGCGAGATATCTTGTCGCAACCATGTCGTAATCACGTCGTAGAGCATCCGTCATGAAGGTCAGCAGCAGCAGCGAGTAGCAGTTGGTCTCTCCGTGTGGAGCAGTGGTGTGGACATGTTACGGAGTAGCGAAGAATACAACACGTAGAAATTACCCACCTGGATGTACAGCGATCAGCAGCGAAGACCATGTGTGTCAGCCACGAGGTCAATATGGGAGAGCACCTTAGCACGAAACCCGATACAGCCGTCCCGCTTGCCTCAAGTCCTATCGGAGGGGCTATATATGTGGTACCACGGCAGGGATCCGAATGCCGGCTGCTCCGAACACAATGGGAGGCTTGCGGTAGGGATCAAACTGGGTCTTACGCCGGGATTCGAACCCCTGACCTGACCTCTAGAAGGTTTCAGGGCTACCAACTAGACAACCGGGGCGACCGGATCTATGACCCCAGTGCTTTTCGCCAAACATCGAACGACAGGAGCGTGTGGCGCGGCGTTGCGTCGGGTTCCATTACATGCGGCGCGGATCAAACAGCAGTACTCACATGCGAGACGGATCCATGGAGGCCTGCACCCAATCGTCGCGCGTGGTCCCGGGAGAGGGATGAAGTCGATGGTGGCAGATATGTAAAACAACAGCCAGAGCGCGGAGGGGCGTGTGTCCATGTGCGGCGCAATATCGATTTTTTTTTTGGTGGTGGATTTTTTTTCTGGAGCCGCCGAGCCGGCACAGAATGCGCCGCACGGCAACATACAGCTCCGTGGAACCGCCGCACAGCAAAATACTACCGTGAGGAGACAGGACGCACGGCAATAGAAACACGATGTCCGACTGAAGAGACTACTACTACGGGCAGCAATTCTACCCAAGGCAGCATCTCGCTGTCGCCGGCCATGAAAACCCCGGTTATCTGGTCAAGTGGAAAGAAAAGAAGTTCACGTTCTTCGACACGAGAGAGGATATGGTGGACTGGTTCCGGCGAGCCAGCTTGCCTTTCCACCAAACAGCCATTCATGCCTCTTGAGGTGGTATACGAGGGCCAGCGGTGTGGGTTTTTCGCAGACATCGAGTGCTACACGCCGCCCATGATGTCTGTGGGTGACGTGGACAAACTGAAGGCAGACATCGTGCGCTACGTCAACACGGCATACGATGCGAGGGGGCTTAACAGCAGTGAACTCTTGTGGAGCGAGAACCACCGGGGTGGTAAGGTATCCTTCCATGTCCTCGGGCGGGACGTTGTCTTCGAGGGCACACACGGTGTCTCGGACCTGGCACATGCGGCCATGAAGATGAACAGGGATGGCATCCCTCTAACGAAAGAGTACCCTCTCGTGCACTGGGCTTCTCGGGGTGCAAGAGGACCGGAAAGAAGCAAAACCTGTTCGACCTTAAAGTGTACACCAATAATCGTGATATGCGCTGCATCTACAGCTCCAAGACGGGGTCGGAGGACAGCTTCTTCTCACCGTGCGCGGGGTTTGAGAAGAGGGAGCTGGGGGAGTGGTGGATCGTTCGGGACGTGGGGAGCACGAAGCGTGTTCACAGCGAGCCGTGACCTGCCAAACTGGATCGGGAGCTCGCCACTACAACGGGACAAAGGATGAACGCCAAGACATTCAACAAGAAGGCGTTCAAGCGTGTCATGCAATCCCCCCCACGGTACCCACTAAAGCCAATGACGCACAGGAGCGGCTGGCACAAAAGCTCGAAAAATACTTTCAGGAGAAGCAGAATGATGGGACCATCAGGGTGCGGTTCTACGGAGAGTATCACAGGGAGGGGTACGCGCCGGCCGCCTCCTATCGCCTGGACAGGACGAACAGGTACTGCCATTCATGTTCGGGGACGCACACGTCTAATGAGGGAGGTAAGCTTTTCGCTGGGGCGTGTACCATTGTGGGCGTACGCGGCAGACCTGTCGCGCGCTCCAAGTGTCCCATTTTTCTCCATTCTGCTTTTTTGAAATAATAAGAGAGAAGGAAGATTTTTGGTACAGCTACCATTTTTCAACCTGCATGCCCGCCGGTGGTTTTTGTTTTCGTGTGTGAATCAGGTATCCTGGATATTGGGGAAGACCGTTTCATATACCATTGCTTTTCGGATCGGTCAGTCAACGTGCACTTTACACTAGCATCCGAAGCGCCCCATCTCTTCATCGGCCGCGTCCCGGACTTCAGTGCCGTCTTGGCACGCTGCATCGACATCCTCGCCGGTATGTGCACCGGGAAGACGTGCGGGACGGAGCGCTTTTTCGACGTTCATCCCGACGCGACGATCCTCATCATCTGCCCTCGCAAAAGCATGTGCTTTGCCATGACTAGGCGCCTCGAGAAGCTCGGCTTCCAGCTCTACACGTCAACGATGGATGCAAGGCGCCTGGTGGTCGAGTACGAGAGCATCCACAAGCTTCAGAGGATCTACGACGTCATCTATATGGACGAGATCCGGAGCGTGCTGTCCACGGCCGTCTGCTACGCTACGAACCGCCTGAACGCCACGCGCCACCTGGACAGGCTGGGGAACTCTGTACCAAAGCGAAGCACACCATTCTCACGGACGCCGACTCCAACTTGGACTGCGCCGTGGACCTGTTTCGCGACAGCTTGTTCCGGCCGGAGGATGTCAAGACCATACGTCTGCCCGAGCCGTTCATGGAGCGCAAGTTCAAGTTCATGAGCAAGCCCGCGACGTTCAAGAAAATGTGCCAAGATCTGCGCAATGGTCACCGCGTCGTCGCATGTGTTGCGTCTGCCAAGATGCTCAGGGGATGCATGAAACACCTGAAAACATTCATGGACGAGAGCCTGGTCACGGGATACTTTGCGGCGGCCGACAACAAGGACGAGCTGTTCGACGTCAACCAGTACTGGGGCAAGTACAAGTTCACCGGGTACACCTCGACCGTGACAGTTTCGCTGGACTTCGCCGAGCCCGTGTACCGGGTCTACATCTTTCCCAACAAACACTCGTTCCGCCCGCGCGAGGGGTTGCAGGGGTCTGGTAGGTCGAGGGATGTCATTACGGGTGAAGTCATCTTGGCGATGGATTCAAACTGTCGGTACATGCCCCTCGAGCGTGGCTACGACTTCAAGGCAGACTACGAGCGGGAGCTGAAGTTCCTCACCGACAGGCGCGCCGCCGTCACGTCGTTCAACAGCCTGACTGAGAGGGAGCGAGAGCAGGATGGTTCGTTCACGGAGGAGCTCACGGAGGAAGGGGCTACGTGCACGCCGACCCTGTACACCAAACTATGGGCGGTCGACCGCGCCGAGCAAGCGCTCAAGCTGCGGGCCTGGTACCCCCATCTAATATGGATGCTCGAAAAGAAGGGCTACAAGGTCGAGTACGCTGACGAGCTCGAGTACGCCGACGAGCTCGAGTCCGCAGGAGAAGAAGAAGAGACAGCGGAAGGAGAAGAACCCGACGAGGAAGCAGGGAGCGGGAGCGGGGATGGGGCCGACATCGTAAGGAAGGTGGCTGTTGCCGCAGACGCAATCGTCGCACAAGAAATCGAGGATATGGACGGCATCGACGCCACCGAGCTTGACGATGAGTGGGAGGATGTCATGAACAAGAAGCACACGAGGGACATGCTGTTACACCAGGATAAACTCGCCCTCCGCAAGTACCAGGCGCAGAAACACTTCAAGGATGCGCTGACCGGCCAAGACGTGGCGTTCTTCGAGAAGCACAAGAAGGCCATCCTGTACCGTATCCTGGAGCGGGACGCGACGACAGCCGAGCTCTTTGCCAAGAACAAGGAGGAGGTGGAACGTGTTCGGCGCGTCGACATGGAGGACGTCGTCTCTCAGGACTACAATGTCAGGACAGCTCTACTAAAGCTAGTCAGGGATGCTGGATACGAAGGTTTCGGAGACGACACCACCGAAGTGTGCCTAAAGGAAGCAGGGGAATCTGCTGAAATCAAGCTCAGCATTGGTGCGGTGCAACAGCTCGTTGGCGGATCGACCAAGAAGAACACCACACTGGCAGGCGTGCTGAAGCCTTGGCTGCTAAAGTACATGGGCCTGAAGCTGCATACACGCCGGGATGGAAGGGGGGAGAAACGGCGCATGATGTACCGTGTGAAACCCTGCCCGGACATCGAGGAGTTTTCGCTGAGGAAGAACACCGTGTATGACCGCGTGATGGGGCGCAAGCAGGGCGCTAAATATGCACCGCCCGGTCAGGTAAACGAGGGGGGCGGGGCGGGAGCGGAAGCGTTTTGTGGGGATGGGGCTGGGACAGGAGCGGAATCGGGGGCTGGGGATGGGGCTGGAGCGGAAGCGGGGGCTGGAACGGGGAGTGGAGTGGAGGATCAGAATATGGACATTCGCCAGTTCATCTCCATTAAGCGCAAGGCTTCTAGCCAGTAGATGGAACGGACTGTGCCCCCCGAAGCGGAAGCATGAGGGTTTGAATGTATGTGTCTTGTCAGGGTAGACAGAGTCCCCCGCGAGGGAGGCGTCCGCTTCTGGAGGGGAATGGGGCAGCGGACAGCACAGGCGATAGACATGCCTGCCCGTGCGCAAAAAACGGAGAACAAAAAAGAGTATAAGACTTGTATATTATTCGTCAACGACATTCCCCGTCCCCAACCCAATATGCGCTCTCCACCTCGAAAAAACTTTCGTCCACCCCGCCTCGATCAGAGCTTTTCGCAACAGCTCGCGCACAACCCGTGCTCCCATGTACCCTTTTTCTTGCGCTTGGGTGAGGCTACGTATCCGAGAGATAGAGCGCTCTGGAGATCTTTCCATTCTTGAGACCCCCTGAACTCCCCAACACATCGGTGACAGTGCTTCTGGGTGGTCGCATCTAACTCGGTTGTTCCTTCCGCAGAGTGTAGCCTGCCCTACGCGCCGATCATCATGCCCGCGTCAACCTCCCACAGGTTTTCTACCCTCACACTATAAACTTTTTCCATGTCATACGCGCGGTGCATGGCACGAGACCGGGTTATCTCGACGGTTGCCTTGAGGTCCCCGTCTTCTCGGAGGACGGCAACGTCCCCTGGGTAGTGACCAACGTACCGAAACTCTAGCAACGTTGTGCACCCCTCATACTGCTTCCCCAAGTCGTGGTCTCCTCTACTGCACGTCGACGTCAACTTAAGCCTGGTAATGAACTTGGCAATGATAAGTTGAGCGGCGACGGTTTTCAGGGACTCCCCCCCCCCGGGACAATCGTGGTCGTCACCCGACGCATGGGCAAAGTGACAACACTGGCTTGATCTTCCTTCAACTAGAACCAAAGGCATGGCACACTCGACGCGTCTGAACGGCCCATGCAGCTCTGCCATGGGGAGAATTTTAACTCCGTTCTTGTCGAGGGCGATGGGGACCCGTTGCGCCATTCTTTGAGTGGGTGGTGGTGTGTGAGTCGATGGGTTTGCCTCCACTTGCTGCCGAGAAATTAAACGATATAGATTGTCCAAACGGCGTACAGTAACAACCCGCCGCACGCCGCATTTTTTTTTGTACGGGGGTACGTGTCACCACAACTCCTGCATACCGTCCTGTGCAAATGTAAACGCTCGAATCTGGGTATGCTTCACGCCCCCACGCCGGTCATTCGTCAGCGAAAATGATCGAGTTGTACACATTCTCTCTTGGTGCATGGAAGCCAATCCTTCTCGATGGCACCACCATCCCCGTCAAACGAGAGTTCATTACCCCGAAAATGAGAGATGTCATGTTCGCCGAGCAAACCGGGGAGTGTAGCTACTGCAGGAAGGCTATTACGCAGTCGCCTGCTGATTTCGACTGTGACCACATCGTACCCGTTAAGCACGGTGGTCCCACGTGCAGGGCTAATCTACATCTGCTCTGCGTATCTTGGCACAGAACAAAGTGTGCTCTAGAAATGTGCACAGGCACATCCACCCACGCCAGCGAATCTGTTCTCGTGAGGACCGATCCGGGGTTCCCCACCGTAAAACCGACCGACTTCCCCGGACTCAAGCCGGGAATATACCCGCTGAATTACGGGGAACAGAAACCTCCGCGCCAATGCGCGATCAAGAAACTCTCCACCAAACGCCAGGATACAACACCAGCGTCGGCCGAGAAGCGCAGTCTCTCTTTTGTTCCCGTGCTGGATGCATTCTTGAGGCACCTGGGGTTCACTGGAGTGGATGATACCACGTCCGAGATATGCCTGAAACACGTGGACACGGAACACGAGGAATATATCCGGCTACTCGAGAAACTTCGCAGGATCGACGGTGGTAATGTTCTGAAAAAATCAATCAGCCTCAGTGGTATGCTTGGCCCGTGGCTCATGCACTACGCGGGCGTGACGTGGGTGAGGCGACAAACGGGTTAGGGGGGGGACCATGCGCAGCGTGTACAGGCTTTACCCCCCCTTAAGCACCACAGATCTGTTGCGTGCGAGTGGCACCCTACGGGCGAGGAAGACAGAGTCGCTGCTAGCGGAAATGGCTACAGACTCGGACACGTATGAAGACGGCATCAAAGGCCTGCTTCGGTGGAGGGGGGACGAGGTGACCAATCAGGATATAATTGCTGATGTTCAATCATATATCCGCACGCAAATGGGAGTGGTTGGCGACCAAAAACATTACGCCAACGTTCGGGTGAAGACAGCGTATGTGGTCACCGGTAAGCCGCGAGCTCGTGGGAACAACACGGAACCAAAAGCGCAATGGAAAAAGATGCGGATTTCGGGTGCAGAGCGAGGGGTCGCGCTTCTGCATGAACCGCGGGAAGCATAATGAAAATAACTCTATCTACTTCGAAATGGAGCGAGATGTGTGTCACCAAAGGTGTTTCTGCGAAGACGACGTTGTCGGGGCGACTGGTATGACTTGCAAGGACTACAACACCCGCGACCGCGGGGGCAGGGGCTTGTCGTGTGTTCTCTTCGAACTCTTTAACCCTGACCCCGGCGCATGGCTGTCGAGACATACACCTGCGATGCCAGTGATTCAACAAGAAAAGAGGACGAAAACGACGGGTGTGCCTCAAATATCAGAGAAGACTCAACAAGCTGTTGAGACATGGAACAAGTTGTCTAAGCGTTAAGGCTTGTCGGTCATTGTTTTTGCTGAGGCCTGTTAGAAAGGAACGTCATGAGCGACTAATAATTAGTCATCTAAACGGCACATTCGTCGGCAACTATATCTCGGGGGCACCGAGCGGGCCTTCGAAAAGAGCGAACAAGAGGCGCTGCTGGCTCAATGTTTCTGCTGAGGTTGAGTCTAGACCCCCCCATCCGACCGTATTTTTATTCATGTGGGGATATGTGCGGCGTTGTTTCGTTTTCGTCGTCGGCATGGCTAAATTCAACCGTCGAGACTTGGCACGTCATTTCATGTGCGCGCGTCACAACAGCACCAACAACAAGTGGCTCTCTTGGTGCCAGTCGCACGCGACCGCAATGAAGACACCGTCCTCCCTAGCTGTAGCAAGGCGCAAGGCCCGTTCAAATGCATCGAGTGTGATGTAAGGTTGCTTGTGAAGCAGGGTGATAAAATACAATGGCACTTCGCTCACGCTTCCTCTGATGCTTCCGGCTGCTCCGGGGAGTCGCTCCAGCACCGCGCCGCAAAAATGATCATCGCAAGGCACATTAGCCACAAATACTTCATCCAAAAATGTAGTGAAGGAGAGCACAAGCACGTTTCGCCGGTACGAAGGCTGTACGACGATCGCCATTCCGCCGGGGACGGGAAGTTCAGAGCAATCGTTGAAGTTAAACTTCCTCATGCCCTTGTCCAATAATACAGTTCCGCGTCACCGATTGGACACAGCGTCCTTCACTTTCATCGCATCGCAAGGGTGATGTGGAGAGTTGGTCGAACAAATGCATGTTGCGCCGCGCAAACGTTTCACATTCGTGCGATTCATGCGGGACCCCTGGCTCACCGCCCAAGTGCAAGAGGTGAGATCCGTGGCTGTCAGTTCTCACCCCCTCTCACACATTCCAATGCGTGTGCACATTTCAGATGGAGCGACAGGAGATTACGACTCGGGAAGCGGCCGAGGCTTCCAACGCAGCCACGTGCGCCATGAAAAAGGCACGATCAGCAGTTGAAAAAGCTCATCTCCACGGCCGAGGCGATGGTGGGATCAGCCATTCATTGTTGAAAGTGCCCGAGAGATAAAGGTGAACCTCGAGAAAAACATGCCACAAGCAAGGTTAGCGCCACGAGAGCTCACTGAAACGACAAGGAGACTCGCTGATCGTGCTACCAACGCGGCAGTTGCCTTGGCGATTGCAGCTCAGGGTGTGACCAAACAAGAGCTATGGATGCAGCGTTCTTACTTGCCCCAGTGGACGATTAAATTATGTGTAAGGGGACGCGCGACGCCCGCGACTCATTACGCCAAAACACAGCGTAAGCCGGGAGAACGGTCTCGGCAAAGACTGCGAGGAAGTATGACACGTGGAATGCGTTCGAGCAGGGCAGTCTCGTTTCTGGCAAGCGTAGTGACAATTCTGGTCTGGGTAGTGGCAGCAAGCACTTCCTCGCGCGACGTGCATTCGGGGTCTGGAGCTTAAGCACGATTTCCTCAATCCCCCCTGGAGCGGCTCGGCGGCACATTGTCAAGCCTCACCCCGAATACGCGCACGTTTGCGTGGGGAGCGGAAGACCCGTATCAGATAGAGAAAGGTGACCTCACCGGGCTCTTTTCTGATCATGGTCCGAGGATGGACTAGACTATACGGAAAATCCTCGTAGAGTTTGCTGTCAGAGCACCAACGGAAGGGTACGTGCTCGATTTTATTTGGTTTATTTTTGGGCTCCACCGAGCCAACGTAGAGCACATTCTCCGTTTGTTTGGTGTTGCAAGGATGCCTTTCCAAAGGAGCACCTACCTTCATCGGCAAGGAAGGAACGGACGCCTCATCGTATCTTGAGAGCATCGCTTTGAAGGTTCAAGAGTTGGAAGAGATCATGCTGGATGTGGAAGACGTTTCAGCGCTGAAAACATTGGAATTCGATCTGCGTGACGTTTTTGAGCGCGCAAAAAAAGAAAAAGCTGCCGTTCACCTTGTGAAGAAACAAGCTGAGAAAACGTCGCCCAAAACTTGTCTGATGCTTCTATGCGAGCCAACGAAAGGGTTGCCACGCCTAAAGTTGTTGAGGATTTGGAATGTACCCCCGACGACCTTTTCGTCGAATTTGTGTACAAGCCTTGAGGTGGCGTGCCTGCTAGCAGATCGTCCTTCGCAAAAACTTACAACGGCCGTGAAGCGTCGTTTTGTTCCTGTCGTCCAAGGCGTAATCGCTTCACAGCAGCTACCCCGTCTTAGTATAAATAAAGCAGGAGCAAGTGGTTGTCGGTGGACAAGTTTACCTAAATAACTCATGAAATCGAATCGCTGATGAGCGGATTTTTTTTTCAGGACGTTGTCGCCATGGGCTTGGACGGGCTCCAGGGTTTAAATCGTGTTTGAATAATTGTACTTTTCCGGATTGTCGGGAGCTCCATACTAATTCCAAGATAGATAGGCTGCTGTTTGCTCACCTACGGAAATCCCGCCGCACCAAAAATGCGGCGAGATTACAGGCGGCAGCCGTTGCGGTGCAGCGTTCCAGCGTTCAACGCCAGCTGCTACGCCGCCACACGTGGCTTCCTCTCTCAGCCTTGATGCACACCACTGGGCATGATGCGAAGCTCGCAGCTGGGCCCAATCGCAGGCAAGGAAAGAGATTAATCGCTTGTGAATGGCGTTGCTGCGTACGAGATGTACGGACGAGAGGCCCAACGCCAGCGCGAGTGGAGAGCAGGCAGGACGTGTAGGGGAGCGTTGTGCGCTGCTGTAAAGCTTCTCAGTGGTGTCCTGGCGGTTCCCTGGTCATCGGCATGGTCGTCAATGTTGCTGCTGAGGTGAGTCGGTTCGTGTGATGTGTACGGCAGCAGTAGTCAGCACTACACCGTCGTCGATTTTGGAGCACCGACAGGACTGCAAGGTTCGGCCTACAGGAGCAGCAGTCGTTGTGTTGCCTCTTCTCCTCGCATCTCCTCCTCCCAGCCCACTTTCTCTCGCGTTCCCGTCTCGTGTTAGAGCCGCAGGTAATTGGCTCAGATACTGTGTGTCTACGCGGTGCTGTAGTCGTTGCGCCTGCACCATATTATTGGGCATAAGGTGACACCGCTCGGGCATGGCGTTACAGCAGGTCCTTGAGACAGATCCTTGAGAGTTGAGACACGCGTGAGCACGGCGACAGCAGTGTACCTTGGGACACACGCAAGCAAGCAAGCAAGCGTGGCTACAGCAGTAGGTTGAGACATACGCAAGCTTTCTCATGACTACAGCAATAGCAGTAGGTTGAGGCCACATGCGCAAGGGAATGTCGCGGTGACAGCAAAGTACCTTGAGACACACGCAAGCTTTCCCGTGGCTACAGCGGTAGGACATAGTATGTCGTGGCGACAGCAATAGGTTGAGACCACATACGCAAAGTGGTGACAGCAGTATGGCTTGAGACACACGCAAACAGGCGTGGCGACAGCGGTATGCCTTGAGACACACGCAAGCAAGGGTGCCGACAGCAGTCGGTTGAGACCACATACACAAGCCTAGCGTCGTGCGTTGTTTTCCGCGTTTTTTTGGCCGGACGGACACTTATCTGTTTCGCCTCTGCGTGGTGTTCGAAGGTGCCAACGTGCGGCGACAAGGCGTGGTGAAGGAGAACATGCCAGGTCATACCGGCGACTGGAACATGTACTTTACTTGGGCGAGGGCCGAGGGCGAAGACGGTGTGTGTGAACAAACGTTCTGGGAGACACACAACACAGGTCATTCTCCGGAGATTACCGTCGATGGAGCTCCAGCGAAGGTGAGCAGCACTACTGCTGGTTTCTCTCTAGCCTTGCTTTTCACGCTTGCGGGCGGGATGGGATGCAAGGGGGCGTGTTCCATTCGTACCGTAACATGGAGCAGAGCCCCAACCTCACTGGTGTAGCTCACTGGCGTAGCTCAACAAACAAGACCTGCCTCGTGTTGAGTGTTGAGTGGACGTTTTGCTGATTCGCTTGGGTTGTCGTTGCGCTTGACCATTTTTATCTGCGGCGTACTGTGACCCCGATAACATTACGCTGACTGTCTCCGGCCACTCATTCGCTCGCACGCCTTTCCCTCGACCACCCCTGTGTTCGTGTCCTCTGTCAACCGATGCTGCGCGATTTCAAGCCGGCGACGATGGATCGATCCGCCCTTGGCCATTTCGACGAGCTCACCGCTGATGGTTTCCCCCCCCTGCCACCCCCGTCAAAGCCAAAACCGATACCACCTCTACCTCAAGCAGCCATCAGCAATTTCTTAGGCGTTTGACCCAGCTGCTGCCCCTTGCCGGCAGCCCCATCCCGGCAGCCCCATCGGGGAAGGGAGGGAGGGAGGGAAGCAGGGGGGGAGAGGCAGGGGCGACGAGACGGAAGGGTGGCTTTGGATGGCCGGACGGCGGGGGGGGGCAGGGTCGGAGGGGGCGGAGAGGGTGACGTTGTGGAGGCATTGACACTGCGTGGTGGGCAGGGTGTGGTGGGCAGGGCGTAGTGGGCACTGGAAGGGCCGGGCACGGAGAGGGTTACGAAGGGAGACAAGGAACAACTGCTGCTGTGTAAATGCCTTTTAGATGTAGCGTAGTTTGCACGGCAGGGCACATAGGCTGCCATGAAGATCAGAGCGCCAGAACTTGACGTTCTGCTTACAGGTTGTGCACGGCAGACAAGCGAACCATGCCCAATCCGTGAATTAATCGATATTGGCGTATTTGTTGTTACGCCCCCAGCTATAATTTTAGCCCAAATCCCCCGCCTATGATTGGCTAGCCGGGGAGTGTGTGTCTTGGTTCGCTGCTTGATTCTGGGTTTGTGTGTGGGTTGGTTCTGGAGGCATTTTCCATCCTGCAGCATTTCGTTGCAGGACCATCCTGCAAATAGGGTTACCGCTCAAACCCTCGGTAGAGAGGGAGCGGGGTGGGCTATAGTCAATACCATCCAGAGACCCCCCTTCCTCAGGGGAAGGAAGCGAGACAAAGCGGGGTTGCAGACAACGCACTCACGGTACCCTTACCTATCGAAGGTGCGCGAAGGCACGCGAAGCAACCCGAAGATATCAGCGGCCACAGGAGGAAGCGTGAAAAGAGCCGTCTGCAAACCGCAAAAGGTAAGAGCGCGTGGATAAAATGTAAACTCCGACGTCGTGAGCGGCGCAAACCACGTCAGAGTTGTTCGCGAGATGAGGAGCAAGCTGTAAACCCCGTTTGATTAGGTGGATTACTTTCGCCTGCGCTCCGTAGCATTTCGCGTGCAAGGTAAGGCCATGGTTAGTCTGTGCTTGTAGACGCCGTCATTCGGAGAGGGGGGGGGGGGGGGGACAACCTCCCTTGGGCGGGGACCAAAAGGGGCGAAAACCGCTCCAAAAAAATTTAGCCCCGATGTGAAAATTGCGAAGTTTCCCCAATGTTTTAAAATGTTCCCGTTTCCGGATTTAAAAAAATTTCAAAGGGTAAAAACCCTCCCCCACTCTTAACCCATAAAACTCCCACACCCTTTTCTTTGGGAGCCGGGGGGCCTCCAGCCGTTTTTAGGGGGGCCCCCTTGGGTCTGCTTTTGGGCCCCCCCACTTTTTTACCCAACCCCCGCCCAGGGGGGCATTTTGGTTTTCCCCCG